ATTATAACCCTATTCAATAATAACTTAGGTTCTCGTTCAGTCGAAGAGCCTAGTGAAACCGGTGTTCGATAGATCTCCCGGACTGATACTTTTTGCGAGGTGTGTTCCTTGTGTGCCACATAATTGTTTTAAATATCTGCTTGAAATACCATGTGCACATGATTGTTTTATCTGATTTGCAATGTGTCTATCTGTTTGACTTGATTCAGTATGATTTATCTGATTTAAAGTCTGATTTCTGATTTACTAAAGTAAGTCTGATTATATGATTCATGTTCTCTGATTACTGTGTTTACTGATAAATATGTCCGAACTTTGATTTCCCGCTACCACTAATTAGTGTTCAAAAAATATTTTTCTCCGGGGTACTTTGGATTTAGTATGAAGTCTTTGTAGGTTTAGCTCGGTCAAACTAGTAATTCCTTATACAGATTTAGACCGATCGAGCTGGTCATTCCTTATATACCTAAGGTAACTTTTAGGTGGGCTCCTGGGCCTAGTGGTAATACCTTATGGACCTTAAGGTACTCCCTTAGAGTGACACATCTTTTGTGTGCATTGGGTAAGTCCTTATGGGCTTGAGGACACTCCCCTCAGGTGGGCACCTATGCTTCGTCTAGTGTAAGACCATATGGACCCAAGGTGTTACCTTAGGTTAGCAGCTACGCCCTTCGGGCCTAGAGTAAGTTCTTATGGATGCAATTCTGGGAAACTGCATATGGTGTTCGATTGGATGGCGATTCTGAAATTTTAAACCAAAAACACCACTAACGTTTTCACAATTTGGAACTGAATTTATTTTGAAACCTCCACCGACGTTTCATGACTTTATTGATGAATTGGTTTTGAAATCTAAATTGTATGTTTTATTTCTGCACTGTTGGAACACACTGAACTCCCTAGCTCACTCCCCCAAATTTCTCTCTTTCAGATAATTTTTGATAGGTGACTTGTACCTGGCACTTGGAGGATCGACACACTCGTATTGTACCTTTTGTTGTAATGTTTTTATCTTCCTATTTGTCTTTATTTTGGGTGACATGTGCCTATATTTTGAAAATGTTAGAATATTTTATTTTATTGAGTTTTTACGACTTTTATCTGGAATTGAATCTAAATGTTATCAACTATATTTTTAAAGATATTATTTAGTTGTGATATGATTTTACATTATTGAAAAATGTTTTGAAAAACTTTATTGTAATCCACTAGATTTGGTTGTAATGCATAGGCCGGCTCTAGGGGTTAAAATTTGTTTATTATTATTTTTTAATACAAGGCTGACATCAAGCCGTTAATTTAGCTCTCGCGCCTCATTCTCCACATCCGATCGGACTGCGTCTCGAATAACTTCATAAAGAACAAAAACTACCTTATTTGTCCATGCCATAGTAGCTAACCCTTCTTCAACCTGGTTGCCTTCCTATGGAATAAACTGAAATTTCAGCCGCTAATCCCGGCTAAGAAGGGCCTGAATATTCGGCATCATTGGAGAACAACTCCCTACATCCGGGTTACTTGGAAGCGTATTAATCACCTCCTTGTTATCACTTTCAACGATGATCCGTCGAAAATATGGGCCCTATTTTTTAGGTTATCGTAGATTCTTATAAAGGGGCGTGGCTAGGTTTAACAACCTCCTTTCACGCTGCCTGTGACACCATGTGTTCACGGAAAATATGGGAAACACTCTCGATCGATGCATTACATAACGTACAGCTCGAATCAATTGTTTATTTATTTTTAAAGGTGTTCATGTTTAATTCATATTTGTTTAAATTTTTAGTATAGTGTTCATTAGAATTTTCAGTATCATGTTCGTTTATTTATTTTTAAAGATATTTGTATTGGTTCATTTAATTTTCGTGAACTATTCATTTAACGTTCACGAACATGTCAGTTTAATATTCCACAATCAAAACTCTGTTTTTACCCTTTTATTTAAACAAAAGAAAATGGAAAAACTACGCCACTAATCCTTAAGTTTTTTATGTTTCATAATTTGAACTCCAAAGTTTATTTTATATTCAATTAGTCTCTAACTTCACCAATATTTAAAATGTAAAAAGTACAAGGAAAAGGAGAACCGAGTAGATGAGTCAGTAAATGAGTTTTTCATGAACATAAATGAATCGAATATGCATTTGTTCGTGTTTGTTTGTTTATTAGACAAACATAAAAATTTTGTTTATATTTATTTATTTAATTTAATAAACGAACCGTTTATGAATAGTTCATTGAACGCTCTATTCATTTACACCCCTAGTGACAACGCCTTCAGTAAGGCTCTCTTTTCAGGTCCTCTGCCCTACATGACACAAATGAGTGTTATTTCGGGAAATAAAGACGTTTGGGGTGCTATTTAGATTTAAAAAATGATTTGAATTACCTAAGAAATTGCATTTCATGACATCACTTATTGGTTGCTCCCATTTCATATTCAGTTGAGATTGTAGATTGGCTAATAGCTACTGCGTTATCTAAACTATTCAGTCTATACATGTATGCCTGGATAAAACAGTAAATTCTTGTGCACAAACTGAAAACAAATACGGGCCACTTGTCTTAGACTACAAGCCCATTGGAAGGCATTACCTTAACAACCATTAAAACACATCTCATTTCCAAATCTGCTGCCAAAACCAAGCTCAACCATAATTCTTCCAATAATCACACTTTATATTTCCCTCATATCTAATTTTATCTTATTTTTCATATCAATAAATAATTTTTTAAAAATACAAATTACAAACTATTTAAAAATTTTAATTATTAGGATGCCGAATGTCATTAGCTTAATAATAATTATTAGGGTTAACTACATGATTGATCATCACCACGATTGGTTAACAGTTAACAGATTAGGTGATGTGACAGTTAAATATTTTGATATAATTGCATATTTGGTTCTGTTATTTATATATTCTCTCAATTTAATTATAATTTTAATAAATTAAAATAAATTTTAATCCTCCAATCGAATGATATCACATGTCATTGGGCTAAAAGGATTCCAACATGTATCCAAGCATTGAGTCAAGACTAATGCTTAGTTTAAAATAGACAACATGATGTATATATTTTGTATCTTAGTGTAAATACTTGCACGAATTGAGTAGCGATCTCAGTGATAAAGGAGTTGATGTTATTCTTTGAGGTCTCAGGTTCGAGTATTAGGAATGTCACAAGTGTGTGTTCAATGTCAAATGGTTGAGAATAATCTTTGAATAGATATTACATTATATTTACCATATATTAATAAAAAAATAGTGAATAAATACTTAATTTAAATCTATAATATATATATATATATACATTAATAAAAAAATAGTGAATAAATACTTAACTTAAATCTATAATATATATATATATATTAGCTTTAAGAAATATTCTTTATATTAACTTATTAAATATGTTTTATTAAATTAATTTAAAAATATTTTATTTTAATTTTAATTTTAATTTAAAAATATATATTTTATTTTTATCTATACTTTTAAAAATATATTTTATTATTGTTTTAACTTTTTAAAGTATATATTTTATCTTAATTTACTAAATATATTATAGGGTAAAGTACATAAATGGTTCTTTGACTATCAAAAGTTACAAAATGGTCCTTCGACTATAGAATGTTGCTTTGTTAAATCCCTCAACTATTAAAAGTTACAAATGGTCACCTGATTATTCATTATGTTCCGAACTTGTCATTTTTTGTAAAAATTGGCAGTTGTCTAAGTTGAACTTTAACACGATGACTGGATATTATAGTAGTTTGAGATTATGGGATCATTTTTATCATATCACAATCAGCAGGTTAATGACCAACTCATAATATGTCCTTTTTTAACGAAAATGATGATTTTGGAACATAATGAATAATCATATTACCATTTTGCAACTTTTAATAGTCGATGGACTTAATAAAGCAACATGTATAGTCAGAGGATCATTTTATAACTTTTAATAGTTGAGAAATTTAACAAAGAAATATCCTATAGTCGGAGATTATTTGTGTATGTTACCCTATATTATATCAATATTACTTTAAATTATTAAATATATTTATTCTTAGCTTAACTTCAAAGTATTTTAACATAAAATATATATTTTAAAATTAAAAAATATTTTTAAATTAAGTTAATAATAAAATAAATTTAATAAGTTAATATAATTTTTTTAAAAAGTTAATTTATATATATAATATTATGAATTTAGGTTAAGTATTTATACACTAAAATATAAAATATATACATTATATTGTTTATTTTAAAACGAAGTATTGGTCTCTGTTCAATGATTGGATATACTTAGTTTTCTAAGTGATCTAGGTTCAAATCTCTTTGGCCACAATTTTCTTTGCTTAGGACTAATTGAGAAAATATGTAAATAATACATACATAAATGTATAATTATATCAAAATATTTAACGATAATTATATCGTAATAATTATCTTAATTAAATAAAATAAAATTGATTATATATTATATTTTTGATTTAATAGTTTTAGATCAATAGTAGCTAATCAGTCTACGTTCTCTGCACTTACTGCCAAGTGGTCATGATGTGTAGTTAGAATCCTTTGTCTGCCCATTTTTTCTTTGCATGTGAAGTTCTCCTCGAAAAACTTTTTTTTATATTCTTTTCTACTTTTGCTCTAAAACATAGTATTAAATTGTAGTTGTGATTGTAGTTGCGATTGTGATGTCATGATTATAGATTTTACGGATGTTATAATATGATTTATTTTTTAAAAATAATTATATTTTTATGTTACAAATATAACTTATGATATAATAAAAACTTAAAAATATATTAAGATATGATTGTTGCTTTCTATTACGATCGTAATTTAGTACTAAAGTGTTGTTGCTAAAGTCAAATGAAAATATTGTCAACCAAATTATCATATACTTCTGAAATTATGTTAACAAAGGAAAGGATAGCTTCTTCATGTCAAACTAAACCGAATATGTACATTGACACACGATGAACTCCATCTTAGCGAAAGAATCTGTGTACAACTCATTGCTTGTTCTTTCAACAATGGTGAAATCTTAGAACCCTTTCCAAGTATTTAAAACTTCATTAAATATATCAGCTATCAGCTCCCTATCTGCACATTGCAGGAAAGCATTCATATCGTCTCGAATATCGTATATTTTACCGAATTTCACTAGATACCGCATGCAACTCGACTTCAGTTTATGCAACTGGTACAGGTTCGCATTTTGGAGCCTCTCCAGCACATTCTTGGCGTCGATATCTTCCGTTAGACTCTCGTGGCACACTTCTTTCAAGTCCAGGATGTCGTACTTGTCGGCTGCCTGGAGAAGTGCCAACCGGTGAATCCGGAATTCTTCGTGTTTGATGTTACCGTAAATGTACCTTAGGAAAGCCCTGCAGACTTCCATCGGCATGTCGGATATGTTGATGGTCGAGAGTTCTTTCTCTTGCAGGTTATGTGAAAACATGCTGCGGAAAACGGGTGATCTCGAGGCTAGAACAGCTCGGTGAGCTCCGATGCTTCCGTCGGAAAGATTGATGATGATGTCGGTGTTGATCCCTTCTGTTAACATCCGGCCGAGGCATGCTAAAGCTGTTTCGTTCGATTGTTTTGTTGTGAACCCTTCAGCCCAAATGGAGCAAGGTTCACCACCCTGCAAATCAACAGCAAACCATCATAAAATTTTATAAATTTGTTCACCCGACGTAAAAATATGCTTCCGTCCCTAGTCATGAACATGGATATGTTAGGTCATCTGTTCATAGGAAGATCGTGTTGGAGACTTACGTTTGGAGATGCAGTCTTTAGATCAAGAAATTCAACGTCGATGATTAATTTCCCAGTTAAAGGAACCTCAATCGGCCACACAAAATCGTCGTTGTTCTTAAGCTGTTTGTCTATTATTCCTGTAAAAATTAGAAAAACGAGAAAAGGTTAAATTATGCTGCTAGTCATTGTACTTTGACAAAATTTGAGACATTATATCCATTAAAAAAGAACATAAATTAAAATTCAATGGATCATAAAAGATGATGATTGTTTCAGTTAGAGGCTTGAGTACCCGGATGAGTTGAAGCCTTCCGATCGCCGGCTGAGCCGACAACTCGGACAACGAAGGAGGCAATCGGAGGGTTATCTCTGGTCAGATTCGAAATCTCTGGGTATAATCTAACATACAATACCTTGTTTTTCTCCACAGATAAATGCCTTCATTTCAAAGGAAAAGAAAAGGTCAGATATAAGAACAATCTCAAAGATTATAAAAAAAAGCCAAAACAGGAACAAGTTTTGTCTTCATAACAGAACATAAGCCATTAAAATTTGCAATAAATCAAAATTAAGGGGTCTAATTGTGATTTCAGTCCTCAAACTATGCTGGAATTCGGGGTTTTATCAACAAGTAAGAACACGGTTTAAAAAACAGAGCATAAGCCATTAAAACAAGGTGAACTTCAAAAAAATCCACAAAGAAACAAGGCTTTCTGCATGCTTTATTAAAATTCAGATTCTTTAATGTTTTTCTTAATGAAAGCCTTAAATGAATTCTTCAAAAAAGTATTCAAAAAGAAGAGGAAAGAAGCAGACCATTTCCAATTGCCGATCTTGAAGGGATCGGATTTGCGGTATGTGAAAGAGGCAAGGTTGTCGATCCGCCATTGAGCAAGCCGAGCAGTGGTTTCGACTCTATAAGCCGATTCGCTCATCCTAGAAAAAGCCAGAGCCTCTGAGATTTCATGGATACAATCAAATATCCCTTCCAACAGATGCTCCCCTGACTTTCCCAGGTTTACTGTTACTATCTCTCCGCATAAATTCCTGATTAAAAAGAAGAAGAAGACAGAACCCACATCTCCTTTCAGTCTCGAACACACTTTTGTTGCCTATGTTTGTCTGAAAGAAGAGAGATTAAACACTGTTGTTGTTGGTTAACGGCGGTGAAGGGTGGAATAGGATCCTATTGGAGGAGAAACAGAGAGAGGAGAAGAAGAGATAAAGGGGATGAATAGGTGAAATGTTAGTTGGATTTTCAACTGAAAATTAGGGAAGCCTTTGGATCGTTTCTGATTATGGGGTTTACTAATAGATTTCATTGGAAGTAGGCCCCGTCCTTATGTTTGTTGTTGCGTTGGAACTTTGAAGCAAAGTATCCCATTCTTCTCATTTACAGATTAATTTAATGGCACGAACCAATTCGATTATGTGATAATAGAATTATTGTTATTCTTCGAAGACTTAGGTTCGAACACTATAGATGTTAGGGGTAGGAAGGTTTAATGTCAAAAGGTTAAGAGTTATCTTTGAATAGATATTATCTTGTACTTATCCTATATTAAAACTATATATTGATTTAACGAAGCACATTTAGCGATTTTCTTGATAAAATAGAGTGTTATCTTTTTCAAAAGTTTTAAATGACAAATTTTAAATACGTATAACTATGTCTGCAAGATACATGTGTATCGTTAATAACTAAAAAAATTATGAGCGAATATTATTTTGTAATCATTATAAATTATTAAAAAAGATAGATTTAAGGGTAAATTACATATTTAGTATATAAATTATCATTTTTTTAAAATTATATATGAATTTTAGTTTTTGTTTCATTTTAGTACCAATGTTCAAAATTTAACGTTAATTTTTTTTAAAAATTAAAATTTTAGGCACTAAAACATAAAATTGATAGTTTAGGTATTAAATGAGGTGAGTTTTAAAGGTAGGGTGCTAAAATGAAACAAAAAACTAAACGTTAGATATGATTTTAAAAAAAATTAAAAGTTTAGGTACTAAAATAGACCAAAATTGATAGTTTATGTACTAAATACAATAATTTACCCTATATTTAATTCAATTCTATTAAGTGGTCTTAGTAAAAGAAAAAGGAAATATTGCTTTTCTTAAAAATTTAAATTCAAATAGTTGCATCTACAAAGTGTGTTATCAATTAAATAAGAAAAAAATTGATATTGTCTCGTAATCACAACAGATTATTAAAAAAATAATACTCAATTAATTAATTTTATGATTAAACTAAATAAGCAAAAAAAAATTAATTTTAAATACTTGGAGGAGTCATAATGCAATTTACAGTCGTACTAATATATAATTGCATAAATTATTGAGGGGCTAAACTTTAAGTTGGGGGCGGGGAGGCCGGTTTGGGCCCTGCACAAACTGTGTCTTTTAAAATCTTTCTTTTTTCCCGATTAATTGAGGGTAAATACAAGATAATATATATTTAAAGATAACACGTAATCATTTGATATTGAACACGCTCACACCTTTGATATTCATAGTGCTCGGATTTGAGACCTCAAAAATTAACAATAATTCTTTTAATATTGACGTGACTCGATTCGTGCATCATTCTTTAATCTTGTTTGGTCAATTTTGCATAAAAAAAAAGACGTATGTATTTCATCAAAAAGGAAAGGAAAAGACAAGAAGAAAGTATCCAATACTTTGAGTAAATGGGAATACTTTGGTTTGATTTGTTTGTAATGTGAACTCATTCCATGTACTATTAACCCTCACTTTATAATTATTTAAAAGTTTAATTAAAAAGTAAATGTTCATACTATATCTTTTTAGATGCAAGATTTAAAAGTTCAATTTTGATACAGGATAGATGCAAGATTTTATATTATAAAGTGAATTTATAAAATTTTAAGGGAATACAAACTTATATAATTTTGGGGGACGAAAACAGATTTTCAATAAAAAAATACAAAGAAAATATTTAAAATATATAAAAATTTGAAATTTTTAGGTGGACGATTGCCCTAATTCTTCCCTTCTGTCCATTCTTACTTTGGCATAGATGAGTTTCTGTAATTGAAGTGTTTTAGGACAAAATTTTAGACTTCAAATTATAATTTTGCAAAAAATAAAAATAAAGAGGCATATATCAAAGTTGATGTATCAATAGAAAAAAGGATGAGTTCTTAAAACAAAGTGTTTGAGATTTTAGATTATTTACTTTCTTAAAATGAAATTAATTGTTAAATTTTTCTTTCGTCTTTTATTTATTTCCATAAAAATCAAAAGAAAGAAAGGAAAATAATAAATAAATGTCATGTGTTACATATTCTTGAAAAAAAATAAGTAACAGACAAAGCAGTTGGTCTAGTAGGATGAGACACTAGATCCCTTAAGTAATGTCAGAGATTCGAATCCTAGTCATTCCGAATAGAGTAAACTGTGTTGGGAAGGTTGTCATTGCCTATGTAGTATTCGATTTGATTAGTCGATCAATAAATCGAAAATCAATGGTTGTAAAAAGGATTAAGAAATAACTTGAAAACAAGAACTAATGAAAAATCATACACTTTGATAAAAAATTTGGACATCCAAAATAAAAAATAAATAATTTTGAGACTAAAATTTTTAGAGCTGAGATTTTAATTTCACTTTTAAATAAAATGAGTTTCACAATCAAAATGTTTGGATAGTTTCTTGAGATTTAGGGTTTTAATTTCTCAAAAAAAAAAAAAGATGAATAGATCAAGATTGGTGATCTGGAAAATAGACGAGTTCATATAAAATTAAAGCGTTTAAGACTTGAGAGTATTTAAAAAACGAAACAAATTATAAAAAAAATTTCTTTTATTTTTCTGTTTGTTCCCTAAAAAAATTGAAGAAAAAAGTAAAAATGATTAAAAAAACCATTTGTCAGATCTTTATTGCGTAGTTTCTTTGACAGGAAATGAAAACGTAATAAAAATATTTATTTTAATAAAAATACTAAATTTTAAAAACGAAAATAATTTAATTATTTATTTTTCGTTAATTAAAATATCACCCTTGGATTTACGTGCACCCAATTTAAGTCGTGGATTTGCGTGCTCCTCTCTTCCTCCTTTTTTGTTTTATGTATTTTTTCCCCCAACACCAGATTTTGCCTATCAAAGATGTAACCCAGAAAGGAAATGGACTTTTTTTTCTTCTAATTTAATCCTTGAATATTGTTTTTTGAATATTAAGTCCCTAAATATGGAAACTTTGCCATTTTCATGCCTTTTGATGACGCCGTGTGGAGTAAAATATCCTTTCGTGTAAGCGTACATTAAAATTAGGAATGATCTGATTTGAGATGAGTTTTAATTTGATTGATTATAAGATTGTTTTTTAAAAAGGTTTTGGGTATAGTAGCTTAGATATTATAAAGTCGGGATAGATCAAGTTTATGTTAAACAAATCTTTGACCCGACTTGTGATACTAATATAATTAAAATAGACTAAAGTGTAGATGAGGTCAGAGCAGGGAAAGATGAACTTTCGTTTAAAGATTAACTAATGGAGTAGTGATTGACATGGGTCAGATTAGGTCGGATTTTTAGTCATCGACCCAACTCGAAAACAATAATCTCCACCCGAGATCCGACTCGACCCGTATGAAATAAGATTTCACACGACCCGACTCGACCCGAAATAGTAAAAAATATTATTTTTATTCAATAAAAACAATGAATTAATTGAAAAAAATAATATATAGGGGGTATTATTGTAATTATTCTTAAATATATAAGGTAAAATTATATTTTTTTAGGTCGGATCGGGTCAGGTATTTTCACCCTAAACCCGAACCTGACCTAACCCAAATATCACATTTCAAAAACCCGACCTGAACCCGAAATTTTTTAAGAACCCGACCCGATCGGGTTGAGTCGGAACACGACGGATTCAGATCTCATGCTCATCCCTACGGAGGAGGCATTGATAACCTACATTAAGGGGTTAATTATAATCTTTGATTCCACTTAACCAAATGTGTTAGTGTTTATTTCAATGATTGCATAAAATAATTTAATGAATTTTCGATTTTAATATCATTTTTATATCTTAGCAATCATAGTGTTGGAATGCCCTATCTTGCAAGAAATCTTGACAAATAAATCTCAAATGATCACACCCATACACATAGACCGTCCTAAGTTAATGACTGGTCTCCATCCTTTTACATATGTGTGCCTTGTGTCTCAAGCTTCATCATCATCATCATACAAAACACTAATTGAGTGTACACTAGGCTACCAATTTGGAACACCTATTCACTTCCATTTTTCAATTTCATATGACATCTATGTATTACCGTCTCTTAATTAATGATACATTCAAAACTATTTTTAAGAATAAACATACATGCTAATAATAAAAAGAATTTATCTAATAATCATAAATAAATTTCAAAATAAATACATTATATAAAATAAATAATTATCATAAAAAATTAAATTTAAGAATGTATATTTACTTTTTTTATTAAACTAAATTGATTATAAAGTTGTATCTATTCTAAACACTCTCAATCATCTGAAGATAAACGCTCAATTACCCTGTTACAACTACTGGTGCTTAAACTTATGACCTCTATAAGAACAACAACGATTCTTTTAACCACTGAAGTAAATTGGATCGTGCCAAAATATACATTTACTTATTTACCTGTTATAGAATAAGTATGAATCGTCATTGTTGCTAAATCCATTTCTTTGGTGTTGAAGTCAATTTTAGTGGCAAATTATCATTAGAAATTGAATTATAAGTAATGGAACCGTTGTGGGTATACTGTAAAATTAGAAATAATTACATTAATTTGACTAGCGGGATAGTGGGCGCACTTATTAGGTAAAATTCCGACGTACTAAAAAAAATCATCAAAATTTCAACGATAAGCTAAGACACTTGTATTGCATAAGATATTGCAAGGCATGACTTAGTGCATTAATTGGACCGCTTTTGTCTGATGTTTATAATTAGTCTCTTCCAAATGTTAGTATTAGACTTCCCTAAATATCCTCAATATTTTCTTGATTTTATATTTTAATTTTATTTAAATCAAGTATAGTTAAAGTTAATAGGATTATTGACATGATAATTTCTATTTTTCAATGATAATGTGTCATTATCTTATGATACGAAACGAAATTAAAACTAAACATTAGATATATTTTTAAAAAAAAAGTTAATTGAATAATTAAAACAAAAACAAAAATGATTAAAGGGGTAGTTTATCCTATTTCTTTTAGAAAAAAAAAGGCCATAC